GGACGCCTCCAGTTTGCTGATGACGATTTGGAGTCTGTTGATGGTGGATGGGCTCACTCCGAAGTGGTGGGTGACCTCATTTTGTAATGTTCCCAACAGCATCCCGATAGCTTGTTCCCTCTGCTGTTCACTGAGCCGTGGCATTTTGTGACTGCTAGTGAAACGGTTGAACCATAGTGCCTTTTATGCGTCCAAAACCTGGCTTTGCATGTGTATGTCATGATAATCATGCACCCCAACAGGTACAAGGAATATGCCAGAGTTGTGTTTTCATGAACTGTACCCATGCCAGAAACACGAAAAGGGTTTGAACCCAGATGTGCATATGGTTTTATGAGGCAACCTCACATCACTATATTTTCGTGTGGTAAATGAAATTGCTTCACAAAACTTTGTTAGAAATTGCCAAAATGGATTTTGAGTTGTCAATGTGTGTCAGTATACATAATTCTCACAGTACAATCTAATTTGTGTTTCCATGTTCCTTTAATGTTCCCCTGAGCGATCTGCTCCTTTTATCTCCTTTGCGATTCTTTGTCCCCCTCATTTCCTTCTGTAGCTGACGTTTTGAGTATTTAGCTACAGCACCTCCAGGTACACGGAGAAATAAGTCCACAATGAACTCCAAGACTTTGAGCTTCAGTCCATCCTCACAGGAGAGTAATTTGTCCCAGTAGTAGGAGACCATGTAGCTTGTCATTATTGTCTCTTTAAGTTTATCACATCAGAGAAAGGAGGCACACAACTGAGAAAATTGAACATGCTTTCTAATTTCAATTTCAAATGCCCTTGTAAGTAGAAAGAAATTGTCACTTGGGAATTTTAGACCCCCTCTGTTCATTTTCTCTGTCCACTTACTAAACCTGACAATGTACTCTTCTTTGGAAGAAATTAAAAAGAGTTCTCCAAGGTGTTGCTCTATATCCCTTCCAAAGATAGCCTTTTTCTTCAATAGGGCATGCAGTATGTATCCAGATATATAGTACAACACTGCCTGGTCATTGTCACTGATTGCTGATGCTGTTTGATGCGACTGTTTTTGAATGGATTCTGACAGGTGCTTTAGCATGTTCCTCATGATGCGATCCAACAATCACTGTGCAAAGATGTGGATAATCCTGTGTGATTCACTTGTCACTTCGACCAAAATGTTGTGAATGTCTGATTGTAATTCTTCATTGAGTCACATCTGATGGAATTTCATCCATAACTGTTCTCTGTCAGATGAAAGGGTACAACCTTTTCCAAACTTGTCAAAAACTGAATGGAATTCCGGGCTCAGAACTGATTCTAGATTTCTGTGAACTGTTGGTCTGTCGCTGCATTCTTTTGCAACAGCAACAAGATGAGGGCCATTCAATGAACATGAGGCGTCGTTCATAGGGTCAAGGATTATTGTAGACAAAGACTTTGGTAGGACTTCTGTGAGAACACCCTGCATGTCCACATCTGTTGGCAAGAAAACTGGGGTGTTTTCCTCTTTACTGTGAGTATCCGTCCTGTCTGCTGAAGGGGGGTTGTCTTTGACAGTCGAGCCCAGTCGATGTTCATGTGCTAAAATGAAAGAAAGTATTGACATATTCAAGTGATGCATATTGACTGATGACTTAACATTAATGTGAGAGTTTGATAGGAACTTCACCACAAATATATATTTTGTGTGAAATTTGATAGGAACTTCACCACAAATATATAATTTGTGTGAAATTTAAGAGAAAGTATGTTAATTCCTGGCAGTTGCTGAGGTATACAGTTAATATGAAGGAAATAGTGGAATTATCGGTAAGAAATGGTGGCCTGAGATAAATCATTCACATGTATTATTGATTTCACTAATGTGAAGTGAACACATGCTAATGGTGATAACCAGGGTGAAACTACATGTACTTATCTGAGAAATGTGTATAGTTTGATCAATTTATGATCAGTGTCACTGTTGGAAGAAATGTGTTAGAATTGTGTACATTTTGTAAATATTGAAGATGCCTTAAGACATTAGCAGTGTAGGAAAGATAGCCCGTCCCAACGTCCGAGAAGGGTGAATTTTGTGGAGGACGGGTTAAAAAATATCGGGTCAATTTGTCCGACAGTGTTTTATTTATATTTGGAGGACAGGCTAGATTTTGGCAGGACTGGTAAATAATTTGACCTGCCAGTCCTGTGGACAGGCTAGATTTTCTACATCTTTCCTACACTGACATTAGCATATCATTATTTGATGTAACAATTCAGAGATTGTCTTTGGTACCTCATATGGTACATATATATACTCTGATACATTAAATAAATTGAATGCTTACCTTTAATATCTGATCTGTTGTGTTTCTTGGTAACATGACCACGAAAGCCCCTGATACTCCGGTAGGTTTAGCCGAGAGCCGCGATCACGGGGGTGATAATGTTTGGTGTAATCAGCAGATCTTCTCTCTGCGTGGTGGAACGCTGTCCTCCACCAGCAGGTTCCCGTAACTGATCCAAGCCTCTCGTATCCATTCCTTGACGAGCTGATCACACTCTGGATGGCAACCAAAGTTTTTAAACTGGTTTCATGCACCTCATGATCCAACCCCGTCATGATCCAACCCCGTTTTCAGGCACATCTTTCCCATGCTTCCATACCGTTAATCATGAAATGTAGGCCTCCAGGGTTTTCCCCATCATCGTGTACCGGGCTACTTCTACCTTTACTTGTTGGAGGATCCATAGTGAAACAGTCTTCTTGTGTACCGTTTCTACCTAGAATTGTTTCGGGGGAATTAGCTCCGGGATCTCCACCTTTTCAAATACAAACAGAGAGGATCTCAGGCAAAGCAGGAATCTTTATTACATAGAAACATATGAAGGCAAAGGACACGTATTCAATCAACTGGTAGGTCAGAATTATCGGCCAAGACAAATGTAATATTGTTGCAGAAAACTATTAAATTGAAATTACAAACAATATGACAAGCGACAAAACAGATAAAAATACAAATGCTTAGAACATATTGTAAACGTTATACACGTTGGGCATTTATTGACTATGAGCATCCACAACTCCAGCAACCATTAAATTTTAACTGATATAGTTTAGGCGTCTAAACAGTAGTGGTGGCCTATGAAAGTAATGATTTGTTATCTGTGATTCTCGATTATTCATAAAGTTAACATATAGCGACAGAACAGTAAATGCTAGCAGCATTTTAGATTAAAGTAAGATTATTTCATTGTTCAAGCAGAGTAGCACGGCTAGGACTTAAAGCAAATTTAACCAAATGACAAGTAACAAGTAAAAGTGACTTACCTTCAAATACAAACAGAGAGGATCTCAGGCAAAACAGGAATGATTCTAGTGTGCAACCATCCTGTTTATATACCCGAGACCTGTCCGAATTTGAAAGCAAGTCCGTACGCACATGTTCAATTTGCAATTTCGATAATAGAATATATCACATGCTGGTTACGTTACGCAAGTTTTGGATGTCAGATTCTAGCGCTGAATGCCGAAGTAATGAAAGTTAGATAATCGAAGATTATGAATGCCGTTAGAATGTCACAGTTTGTGCTGGTTCCTTAGATAGATTATTTTGGAGTGGTCAGCCGTGTCTAGATCGTCAATGCAGCTAAACCGATAATCACTGTGTGTTTGGGACACAAAGAGCAGTGGCCTAACACTTACTAATCTCCCAGCATCGCTGGACCGGTTTTGACAGCTTGAATGTTTGAAGTAATGAGAATAATTAAGCAGGTTCTGAAAACTATGTGACTTAACTGGATTGAGAATGTAAAAATATACAATTGTAGAATATATTTAAAATTGATAAAAACGTGAAGAAAGGTATGGTAAGTTTGGCACTGTTAAAATAGCAGACATATTGATTAGTGTATTGGTAGAGAAGTATTTGCATATCATATCATATCATATATCATATCATATCATATCATATGTCATATCATATCTCTTATTACCCACGTGGTCAACGTATGGGCAGTTGCATACTAATCTCGTACGTCACACGAGTGTCGTATCGCGTTGACCTGTGTCGTAACGACTTGACCTGAGATTCTAACGATTTGATTGGATAACCGATGACCTCTCAATTAGGTCACATTCTGACGTAACTATTTTTTCATTCATAACAAACACGTGAATTCATTCATTCTATAACTTAAATGCATTGTGGGAATGTAAACATTGCGAACGTTGCCGTGTCGCTGTTTAATTGTGAGTCGAACTGAGACATTATATCCGTCGAAAAACATAAACGCAATGTTTCCACCAGTGATGTTAGCGAATGAAGCAACTGCAAACCAAGAAGCGGGGGTGCTACGGGGTAGTTTACTGTAGGAGGCTGTACGCGGGCGATGACAACTGACATGCATCCTGGCGTCTGTTACCAAGGCAGTGACGTCATTACAGTGTGACGTCATGCAAATATTGTACTACAGTACAAAACTCTTCCGCAACCTCTTTATGAAACCGGTTTCGGTTTGAAACCAAAAAATAACAAAAATACGCTATTTTGTCAATTTAATGCATGTAAGACGTGGGTAATAAATAAAATACCACACTCGGTCTCATTACATACGAATTATATGAAACTCGTGACCTTCCTATGTTATCTATACCATAGGAAGGACACTCGTTTCGTATAATTCGTATGTAATGAGACCTCGTGTAGTATTCTCTATATATCTCATATATCAACCCGTGAAGGTCCGGGTTAGAATATTTATCTTCAGTAACCCATGCTTGTCGTAAGAGGTGAAGAGGTGACGAACGGGATGGGGTGGTCAGGCTTGCTGACTGGGTTGACACATGTCATCGGTTCCCAATTGCGCAGATTGATGCTCATGCTGTTGATCACTGGATTGTCTAGTCCAGACTTGATTATTTACAGACCGCCGTAATATATGTCTCAGCTGGAACATTGCTGAGTGCGAGTTAAAACTAAACTTACTCACTCATATCAATATTATCATATTATATTATATTATATTACATGATATTATATTTTCAGAGTTTAACTACTCATCGCCCTTTGAGGCTACTGACGAAATGAAAAGAGGATTTGATGAGAAGGGACATGTTATAATCCGGTACGTGTTATAATTCTATACTGTCTTCTAGGCAGTATCCTGTTCTGTCTTCTGTAGGACCTTCTAGGCAGGATCCTGTTCTGTCATCTGAGGGACCTTCTAGGCAGTATCCTGTTCTGTCTTCTGTAGGACCTTCAAGGCAGGATCCTGTTCTGTCTTCTGTAGGACCTTCTAGGCAGTATCCTGTTCTGTCTTCTGTTGGATCTTCTAGGCAGGATCCTGTTCTGTCGTCTGTAGGACCTTCTAGGCAGTATCCTGTTCTGTCTTCTGTAGGACCTTCTAGGCAGTATCCTGTTCTGTCTTCTGTAGGACCTTCTAGGCAGTATCCTGTTCTGTCTTCTGTAGGACCTTCTAGGCAGGATCCTGTTCTGTCTTCTGTAGGACCTTCTAGTATCCTGTTCTGTCTTCTGTAGGGCTGTATCCTTCTAGGCAGTATCCTGTTCTGTCTTGTAGGTTCTACAGCAGTAGGACCTGTTCTGTCTGTAAGACCTTCTAGGCAGTATCCTGTTCTGTCTTCTGTGACCTTCTGTCTTGGGAGGACCTTCTAGGACAGGCAGTATCCTGTTCTGTCTTCTGTAGGACCTTCTAGGCAGTATCCTGTTCTGTCTTCTGTAGGACCTTCTAGGCAGTATCCTGTTCTGTCTTCTGTAGGACCTTCTAGGCAGTATCCTGTTCTGTCTTCTGTAGGACCCTGTTCTGTCATCTGTAGGACCTTCTAGGCAGGATCCTGTTCTGTCTTCTGTTGGACCTTCTAGGCAGTATCCTGTTCTGTCTTCTGTTCTAGGACCTGTCTGTCTAGGCAGGATCCCTCATCTGTCTAGGCAGGATCCTGTTCCTGTCTTCTGTAGGACCTTCAGGCCTGTTCTGTCTTCTGTAGGACCTTCTCGGCATCTGTTCTGTCTCCTGTTCCTGTTCTGTCTTCTGTAGGACCTTCTAGGCAGTATCCTGTTCTGTCTTCTGTAGGACCTTCTAGGCAGTATCCTGTTCTGTCTTCTGTAGGACCTTCTAGGCAGGATCCTGTTCTGTCTTCTGTAGGACCTTCTAGGCAGTATCCTGTTCTGTCTTCTGTAGGACCTTCTAGGCAGTATCCTGTTCTGTCATCTGTAGGACCTTTTAGGCAGGATCCTGTTCTGTCATCTGTAGGACCTTCTAGGCAGTATCCTGTTCTGTCTTCTATGGGACCTTCTGGGCAGTATACCCAGTCGCGATATTGCTGGAATCTTGCTAAATGTGGCGTTAAACTCACTCACTCACCCTTGGCAGTATTCGGTATGCCATACAGGCAGTACTCGATACTGTCTTTTTAGTAGTATCATCTAGGCAATATAAGGCACTAGCATCTGGTGTACCATGAAACTAGGTTGGGTTCGAGTGTTTAATGTATTAGTGTAAGGGTACCAGTGAAAGTGTCTTCTCAATTTAGGCGTGTCACCTTTCTGCTATCTTTAGCAGATACTTTAGCCGTCGCTGATTTGTAGTGATTTCGTTATTAGAAAGTCAATGCAAGAAAATAAGCTTCAAATAATACAGTTCCATGTTGTTACTGCAGTGGAACCTGTAGTGTTAATGTTGAGTGGTTTGTTTCAGCGGTCTGCTGGAGCCCGATGAGCTGCAGAAAGTGACCCGTGCCTTCGAGGACAGTGAATACATCAAGTCTAATGCATATTCGGTGAGCAGCGGAATAGATTCAATGAACATGCTGCAGCAATAGAACTCACTGCTTCGAAGTTTCCATGAACACAATATTGAACTAAAATACTAAATATACCGGATATTACTTATTATAGGTCATAAGACTCGATAAATACTGTTACTAGAAATGATTAGAAGTTAGTATTGTGGAAAATGTCAAACGTATATGTGCCAAAATCAGACAGCCAGGTGTTGTATTGGGGAACGTTACATACATACACACACACACACACACACACACATACCAAACAATATGGAAAAGAATGTATAGAGCAAATAAGTAATACATCCAATATGGTTGATGTGCCTGGGATATATTTCATGTGAACACAAAGTGAATGTTTCTCACATTCAGTTCTCTACGTTTTTCAGACAAGTGACGGAACCGGAAGGAAGTCTCGCGTGGCATGTTGGAAACAACCAGGTGATGACGTCACAGGTCTTGTCACGCGCAGTGAAAGAGTTGTAAGGACTTGTGAAAAGGTATATCCAATAATACTGGGTCCTGAATAATACTATTCTGGTTCAATGAACTCTTGTTAACCTACATATATAGGACGACACACAACGCATGTGCAAGAAATGGATATGCTCTTTCGGTAATCTTTCATACTCTCGGCATTCAGGAAGAGGAACAAACCTAAGTTGGTACAGAAATCACATTTAAGCCGTACTTCTTATGCTATGTGCGATTGTAGAATCCGTTCCAATAACTAGTTTGATAACATAGACATATACCCCAACAACAATCTGATCTCTCGTCCTGACGGTTGTGTTAGGGTCAGGGTATGTAATCACAAGCCTTTGTCCCAGGATTCTTCAGGGTAGGTAATCACAAGCCTTTGTCCCTGGATTCTTCAGGGTAGGTAATCACAAGCCTTTGTCCCTGGATTCTTCAGGGTAGGTAGTCACAAGCCTTTGTCCCTGGATTCTTCAGGGTAGGTAATCACAAGCCTTTGTCCCTGGATTCTTCAGGGTAGGTAATTTCTTCAGGGTAGGTAGTCACAAGCCTTTGTCCCTGGATCCTTCAGGGTAGGTAGTCACAAGCCTTTGTCCCTGGATTCTTCAGGGTAGGTAAGTCACAAGCCTTTGTCCCTGGATTCTTCAGGGTAGGTAGTCACAAGCCTTTGTCCCGGGATTCTTCAGGGTAGGTAATCACAAGCCTTTGTCCCTGGATCCTTCAGGGTAGGTAGTCACAAGCCTTTGTCCCTGGATCCTTCAGGGTAGGTAGTCACAAGCCCCTTTAGGGTAGGTAGTCACAAGCCTTTGTCCCGGGATTCTTCAGGGTAGGTAATTACAAGCCTTTGTCCCTGGATCCTCCAGGGTAGGTAGTCACAAACCTTTGTCCCTGGATCCTTCCTTAAAATATTGTGGCAAACGCATCTATAGAGGCTCCTTACACTATACATGTTGACAGATTCAACTTACCAGTGTTGAAATGACTACCTCATGTTTCCGTCTGACAACGAAGCGATGAGTAATGAGTTTGTTGTGTTGGCAGCTGCTGGGGGGCGAGGTGTACCACTACCACTCCAAGATTAACATGAAGGAAGCAAAGACTGGGGGTCAGTTTGTCTGGCACCAGGACTACGGGTAATCCAGAGCATTAAATACTCTACATCATGTACATTGTTTATATTTATGCAAATTGTGAAAAGAAGTCACATCATTTGTGTGGGGGAATGGGCAATCAGTATCTACATATAGGGTGGATGATCTTCAGCGGGTTATCCTGTGAAGTTTATATCCTACTACAGTTTTGTAACCAAATCCATCGCCCAGTTTGAGGTTACATTGAGCCTTGACCTGGAAACAACCTGGTTTAGATGTGTATCTTCAACATGGGGAGTCTGCACTTGTAGCAAACCTCGGCGACTGTAGCCATTATTCCAGAAATTCTTCTACTAAATGACACAGATATATCAAACGCATGATCTTCCGTTGGTTGTTGAAACAATATTAATGCAAACCCTGCACGACATATGTGTTTGTAGATGGTTTGCAAGGGGAGTGTTGCCAGAAGCAATAGGTCATTCTTACTGAAGGATCTCCAAATGTCCATCCACCCACCCATCCATCCATCCATCCATCCATCCATCCTCCCATCCATCCATCCTCCCACCCACCCATCCATCCATCCATCCATCCATCCACCCATCCATCCACCCACCCATCCATCAATCCACCCACCCATCCATCCTCCCTTTTAAACGCTTGTTTTAGAACTTGTCTACAGCTAATGACACAGCCTTGTCTACAACTAATGACACAGCCTTGTCTAATACCCAGGTACTGGTACCAAAACGGGATCCTGTTCCCTGACATGATCAGCGTCTTCATCGCTCTGGATGCCAGTGTAAAGGAGAACGGCTGTCTGCAGGTAGGTGTGACAGTCTGTACTTAGTAGGGACTGAATCAAGGTAGGTTGGACAGTTTGCAGATAGGAGGGATTGTCAGAAGGTAGGAGGGACCGTCTGCACGTAACACGAGATAACTATTTCTTCGCATAGGTCCCTCAGAGGTGGCGGTCTCCATGCAAGAGCGACATTTCCATCAGGTCATTGCCATCAGGATAATGCCATCAGGACTGCGAGTGCTGAGGGTGTTGTAACGCCGCCATGTTGCTTTGTGCTCTGGTCTCAGTCGCACAGGCTTCTCAAGCTGCATGTACTTCATGGTGTACCACAACAAGTGGATTATACAACTTGACCCTTAGTGACCATTTACTTATTCACTAGACATTAAACAACTCAATGCGACACAGACCGAACACTGACTGTGGTGTAATGAAAGCTCATGGCGTTGTAGGTCACTGACGTCCTCCGTGTTGGGCTAAACACGTTATGTAGAAACTGTAGCCTCCGTGTTGAGCTAAACACGTAATGGAGAAACTTGCAGCCTCCATGTTGGGCTAAACACGTTATGTAGAAACTTGCAGCCTCCGTGTTGGGCTAAACACGTTACGTAGAAACTTGCAGCCTCCGTGTTGAAACTTGCAGCCTCGGTGGTGTTATGTAGAAACTTGCAGCCTCCGTGTTGGGCTAAACACGTTATGTAGAAACTTGCAGCCTCCGTGTTGGGCTAAACATGTTATGTAGAAACTTGCAGCCTCCATGTTGGGCTAAACACGTAATGTAGAAACTTGCAGCCTCCATGTTGGGCTAAACACGTTATGTAGAAACTTGCAGCCTCCATGTTGGGCTAAACACGCTATGTAGAAACTTGCAGCCTCCATGTTGGGCTAAACATGTAATGTAGAAACTTGCAGCCTCCGTGTTGGGCTAAACACGTAATGTAGAAACTTGCAGCCTCCGTGTTGGACTAAACACGCTATGTAGAAACTTGCAGCCTCCATGTTGGGCTAAACATGTAATGTAGAAACTTGCAGCCTCCGTCCATGTTGGTGTTGAAAAACATGTTATGTAGAAACTTGCAGCCTCCATGTTGGGCTAAACATGCTATGCTGCATGCAGCCTCCATGTTGGGCTAAACACGTAATGTAGATTATTGCAATGTTGACCATTAGTTTGAGTCGTTGGCTACTGTGATGTCACCTGAAACAGTAGTGTTGTATACACTGGATAATCGTTGGTTACTGTGATATCAACTGAAACAGTAGTGTTTGGCAGACGTTCGTTGGGGTAGCTCTCTGATGGTTTTTCAGGATGGTGGACAAGAGATGAACTGACAAAAAATGTCAGCAGTAGAGTTGAAGACAGCGGAAGCCATGTTTAGTATGGTTGTTGAATAATGGTCTAAATGGTAATCACGTGACAGAACGCACACCGGGACCGAGTGGCCAATTTTCCCTATGTGGAGACCAGCTCTGGCACTTACACGCACAGGCAGTAGTCGGACGGAGATTCTTCACTGTGATGTCACCTGAAACAGTAATGTTGTGTACACTGGATAGTCGTTGGTTACTGTGATGTCACCTGAAACTGTAGTGTTGTATACACTGGATAGTCATTGGTTGCTGTGATGTCACCTGAAACTGTAGTGGTGTATACACTGGATAGTCATTGGTTGCTGTGATGTCACCTGAAACAGTAGTGTTGTATACACTGGATAGTCATTGGTAACTGTGACGTCATCTGAAACTGTAGTGTTGTATACACTGGATAGTCGTTGGTTACTGTGATGTCACCTGAAACAGTAGTGTTGTGTACACTGGATAGTAGTTGGTTCCTGTGATGTCACCTGAAACTGTAGTGTTGTATACACTGGATAGTCGTTGGCTGCTGTGATGTCACCTGAAACTGTAGTGTTGTATACACTGGATAGTCGTTGATTACTGTGATGTCACCTGAAACAGTAATGTTGTGTACACTGGATAGTCGTTGGTTACTGTGATGTCACCTGAAACTGTAGTGGTGTATACACTGGATAGTCATTGGTTGCTGTGATGTCACCTGAAACAGTAGTGTCTTATACACTGGATAGTCGTTGGTTACTGTGATGTCACCTGAAACAGTAGTGGTGTATACACTGGATAGTCGTTGGTTACTGTGATGTCACCTGAAACAGTAGTGTTGTATACACTGGATAGTCGTTGGTTACTGTGATGTCACCTGAGACTGTAGTGTTGTGTACACTGGATAGTCGTTGGCTACTGTGATGTCACCTGAAACAGTAGTGTTGTATACACTGGATAGTCGTTGGCTACTGTGATGTCACCTGAAACAGTAGTGTTGTATACACTGGATAATCGTTGGTTGCTGTGATATCAACTGAAACAGTAGTGTTTGGCAGACGTTCGTTGGGGTAGCTCTCTGATGGTTTTTCAGGATGGTGGACAAGAGATGAACTGACGAAAAATGTCAGCAGTAGAGTTGAAGACAGCGGAAGCCATGTTTAGTATGGTTGTTGAATAATGGTCTAAATGGTAATCACGTGACAGAACGCACACCGGGACCGAGTGGCCAATTTTCCCTATGTGGAGACCTGCTCTGGCACTTACACGCACAGGCAGTAGTCGGACGGAGATTCTTCATCGTCGACGTAGTCGTTGGTGAGGCGACGGCCGAACTAGCCGCAAAATCCGTCTGCTTGTGTCAATGATCTGCATCCATCTCCTCCGACTCGTCTCTCTGACTGGTCTCCCTGACTGACTATGTCAGTCCGGTTTTATAAATAGGGACATTACGCCATGTTAGGGACATTAAACAGACAAAGGGAATAGAATTTCGGTGCACTTTGGACATATATTGAAGCAATTATGTCGTTTGATTATATGAAGTTTTTAAAGAAACTTATTGAAATGGTTTACTCTATGACAGTTATATCAAGTATATGTATCTATTACTGAATGAGTGACTGATTGGTGTCAATTAATGCTTACATCATTAATCCATTGCTCTTTAGCAAACGTCAAGAGAACAATCTCTGCCTACGTGGCTAATATCATCTGCAGTTTTGAGGAACTATATTGTACAGCTATAAGACCGGTTGATACCAGTGTAAACATGACGTCAAATCGACTAATTGTGTATGCATCCATCTGGGTTCAGGGAGTAGGAATATACACATAGAAAATAGGAACTGAGTTAGATGGGAGTTCACTGAAGATAAATCCTAATAGAGTGAGGGATGAATATTGTATGAGCGTCGTTGCAAGCCAATATAAACTCACACATGGCAACCCATGGCAACTGCATGATATCAGATGATCGTGATTCCAAACAGCAACTTTGATCTTAAAGTTTTGAAAAATGTGTATACACTAAGATAAATGACATATCACTATTTCTATCGGAATATTTATGTTCGATTGTGATATGAGTCATATAAGCTGTGGTAGACTTGATCCTTGTCGTAGAAACAAATCCGGAACCTTAAAGATTCTCATTACGGAATGTCATTGTGCCCCACTATTTGGTGCTTGTAGGGGACGCAGTGTTCTTCCACTGCAATGTCCTGCACACCAGCAGCGCCAACGTGAGCGACAGACGCCGCTGGGTGTTCATCTCCTGCTTCAACAGAGTCTCCAACAAAGCGACCACTCAACACCATTTCCCGTCGAGTGGAAAACTGGACATTGTAAGTTGCATGCAGCAGTGACAGTCACACAGTCAATCAGGACCGCCTCCGTGGTGTAGTGGTTAGAGCGTCTGCCTGGAGAGCGGAAGGTCGCAGGTTCGATCCCCGACCGCGTCATACCAAAAGACGTTAAAATATGGTACTTGTTGGTCCCTGTCTGGCGCTCGGCATTAATGGGTACAACAAGGACTGGTCGGCGCGGAGTCAGTATAATGTGTCTGAGTGGGGTATTCATGCTTCACTGGGGCATGGTATCTCAGCGGGCTAGCACTATAAAACCAGCTTTAGTCTGGGCTAGTACAAGCAGCCGCACATACACATACACACGCATGTACGTCGTCATATGAGCGAAATATCCTCAAGCACGACGTTAAACCAAATTTCACCTCACCTCACTCTGTCAATCAACAACGCGCTTGACTCCAGCTGAAGAAGCCTCCTCACCTGGTCTCAAAGACTGAACTGGTGATTACAGTGCCGATATTGTTCAGTGTAACAGTGTGTGACTGGTGTGTAACTGGCCATTAGATAGTGAAGCTGTAGTTGACTAATGCTTGTATGTCTGTGTCGTCCAGCTGTGTGACTGGTCATCAGATAGTGAAGCTGTAGCTGACTAATACATGTACTTGTATGTCTGTGTCGTCCAGCTGTGTGACTGGCCATTAGATAGTGAAGCTGTAGCTGACTAATACAAGTACTTGTATGTCTGTGTCGTCCAGCTGTGTGACTGGCCATTAGATAGTGAAGCTGTAGCTGACTAATACATGTACTTGTATGTCTGTGTCGTCCAGCTGTGTGACTGGCCATTAGATAGTGAAGCTGTAGTTGACTAATACATGTACTTGTATGTCTGTGTTGTACAGGAGTGTGACTGGCCATTAGATAGTGAAGCTGTAGTTGACTAATACTTCATGTCTGTGTTGTACAGGAGTGTGACTGGCCATTAGATAGTGAAGCTGTAGCTGACTAATACATGTACTTGTATGACTGCGTCGTCCAGCTGTGTGACTGGTCATCAGATAGTGAAGCTGTAGCTGACTAATACATGTACTTGTATGACTGCGTCGTCCAGCTGTGTGACTGGTCATCAGATAGTGAAGCTGTAGCTGACTAATACATGTACTTTTGTATGTCTGTGTCGTCCAGCTGTGTGACTGGCCATTAGATAGTGAAGCTGTAGCTGACTAATACATGTACTTGTATGTCTGTGTCGTCCAGCTGTGTGACTGGCCATTAGATAGTGAAGCTGTAGTTGACTAATACATGTACTTGTATGTCTGTGTTGTACAGGAGTGTGACTGGCCATTAGATAGTGAAGCTGTAGTTGACTAATACTTCATGTCTGTGTTGTACAGGAGTGTGACTGGCCATTAGATAGTGAAGCTGTAGCTGACTAATACATGTACTTGTATGACTGCGTCGTCCAGCTGTGTGACTGGTCATCAGATAGTGAAGCTGTAGCTGACTAATACATGTACTTGTATGACTGCGTCGTCCAGCTGTGTGACTGGTCATCAGATAGTGAAGCTGTAGCTGACTAATACATGTACTTGTATGTCTGTGTCGTCCAGCTGTGTGACTGGCCATTAGATAGTGAAGCTGTAGCTGACTAATACATGTACTTGTATGACTGCGTCGTCCAGCTGTGTGACTGGTCATCAGATAGTGAAGCTGTAGCTGACTAATACATGTGTACTTGTATGACTGTGTCGTCCAGCTGTGTGACTGGCCATCAGATAGTGAAGCTGTAGCCGACTAATACATGTACTTTTGTATGTCTGTGTTGTACAGCCGTGTGACTGGTCATCAGATAGTGAAGCTGTAGCTGACTAATACATGTACTTGTATGACTGGCGCTTTCGTCCAGCTGTGTGACTGGTCATCAGATAGTGAAGCTGTAGCTGACTAATACATGTACTTGTATGTCTGTGTCGTCCAGCCGTGCGACTGGCCATTAGATAGTGAAGCCTGCAGCTGACTAATACGTATGACTGCGTCGTCCAGCTGTGTGACTGGTCATCAGATAGTGAAGCTGTAGCTGACTAATACATGTACTTGTATGTCTGTGTCGTCCAGCTGTGTGACTGGTCATCAGATAGTGAAGCTGTAGCTGACTAATACATGTACTTGTATGACTGCGTCGTCCAGCTGTGTGACTGGTCATCAGATAGTGAAGCTGTAGCTGACTAATACATGTACTTGTATGACTGTGTCGTCCAGCTGTGTGACTGGCCATCAGATAGTGAAGCTGTAGCTGACTAATACATGTACTTGTATGTCTGTGTCGTCCAGCTGTGTGACTGGCCATCAGATAGTGAAGCTGTAGCTGACTAATACATGTACTTGTATGTCTGTGTTGTACAGGAGTGTGACTGGCCATTAGATAGTGAAGCTGTAGCTGACTAATGCTTGTATGTCTGTGTTGTCCAGCTGTGTGACTGGCCATTAGATAGTGAAGCTGTAGCTGACTAATACATGTACTTGTATGACTGCGTCGTCCAGCTGTGTGACTGGTCATCAGATAGTGAAGCTGTAGCTGACTAATACATGTACTTGTATGTCTGTGTTGTACAGGATTGTGACTGGCCATCAGATAGTGAAGCTGTAGCTGACTAATACATGTACTTGTATGTCTGTGTTGTACAGGATTGTGACTGGCCATCAGATAGTGAAGCTGTAGCTGACTTATACGTGTATGCCTGTTTTGTCCAGGTGTGTGACTCGGCCATCAGGAACTGCACAAACCTCACAGACATGTCTGCTAAAGACTTCCTGGACCCCAAGGACAATGTGCTGATTGCAGCTGCGCGATAGAACTGAATCCAGCAGGTCTACTCCTTCGTTCATATTGGACCCAAGACAAACTCTGTAACAACATTTTCTGCAGTGGAAATCAATGTTACAGTTGAATGTTGTTCTTTTTTTAATCAAATTGCCTACATTCCATGTTTTATTCTTATGAATTAAATTTAATTCTTAGAATTAAATATAACATTAACAGTCGTTTGTCGTTGATGTGGCTTTTCAACTATACTTCCCATCCAAAGTTTAGACTCACTTAAAACAATTCCAACATCTTCCGTCAAATCCCCTACCCTAAATTTAATGTGCAGTTACCTTACAAAATACCAAAATAACGGAACATCAGTTTTGGTTATGGATTTCACAATTCACTTTTCAGGGAAACGCGAGTGCTACCCAGTACCCATGTAAGGTGTAATTGGGGTGCAGGGGGGTGGGTGGGGTAGCCTAGTGGTTAAAGCGTTCGCTAGTCACACCGAAGACCCGGGTTCCATTCCCCAAATGGGTACAGTGTGGGAAGCCCATTTCCGGTGTCCCCGCCGTGATATTGCTGGAATATTGCTAAGCACGGCGTAAAACTAAACTCACTCACTCACTTGTTTTCTTCAGGTATTTGATGTATCAGTTCTGCATGCATGACCGCCAGTCTGTGTTGCTCAACTTCAGGTATTTGGACCAGACACCCAACAGTTGCAAGTCACCCATGCTTGTTCTTGGTCATGAGTGTAGTTTGGATAATTTCTTATGTACAGTCCGTTGGATTTTATTTGAGACCTATGAATCGCTCGCTAACACAAAATGTAATAATTGCAACAAAGCCAAATTTTGCACAGTCACATGAAATGGACAAACTAACTCTGATGATTTGTCTCATAATTTTGGGCACCCGAATAAAAAAGTTGTTTAACAACCGATCATTATTTTGTTGTCACTTGTCGCTAGGGGGACCACTTGCTGGTGGAACAGCCAGGTAATCAACAAGCGTGTGTAGTGAAATTTCAATTTCACACGTGCAACTCGCACACCTGTCTGGTAAAATGAGAGGTCACTCTGGTAAAACACATGCTGGGTGTTATATTCAAGCTGTTATCAAGTAAATACACATTTGAAGGACATAGTTTTTCAAAATGGGCAGAAATGAGCTCTGAACGGAGCTGAGTGTCATTAAGCATATAATGCACCTGCCTATGATACTGGAACACTTCAAAATTTGCATTGAAAGGGTGGAGGGGGCTCTTCTTCAAGCAAGTCATAACGTCCCACTGTTTGCCATGTGCAGTGTAGACTTGACAGATAATCCTTTGTATAACTCTAAAACTAGGTGATGTCGCTTTCAATCCTAACAAAACTGAAAGCATATTTTTTTCATGCAAACAACCACCCACTAGACTTCCTGATCTTCACATGAATAATATCAACATTAAAGTAGTTTCTCATCATAAACATCTTGGTTTAACATTGTAAAGCAACTGTAATTGGCATGAGCACATTAACGATATAATCAAGAAAGTATCCCCGATGATCAACTGTTTTAGGTCCCAGAAATATAGATTTTCACGTAAGAGCCTAGACACTATTTACAAACAATTTATTCTCCCTCACTTTGACTTAAACGTTTGAATAACATTCAAGTAAGGCAAAACAGTATCAGGATAGATGATTGGTTGGCACACTTAAGGCAACTCTTGTGGTGTTGATACAGTAGATCATAACAATATCCGGATAGATGATTGGTTGGCACACTTTAGGCAACTCTCTTGTGGTGTTGATACAGTAGATCATAACAATATCCGGATAGATGATTGGTTGGCACACTTTAGGCAACTCTTGTGGTGTTGATACAGTAGATCATAACAATATCCGGATAGATGATTGGTTGGCACACTTTAGGCAACTCTCTTGTGGTGTTGATACAGTAGATCATAACAATATCCGGATAGATGATTGGTTGGCACACTTTAGGCAACTCTTGTGGTGTTGATACAGTAGATCATAACAATATCCGGATAGATGATTGGTTGGCACACTTTAGGCAACTCTCTTGTGGTGTTGATACAGTAGATCATAACAATATCCGGATAGATGATTGGTTGGCACACTTTAGGCAACTCTCTTGTGGTGTTGATACAGTAGATCATAACAATATCCGGATAGATGATTGGTTGGCACACTTTAGGCAACTCTCTTGTGGTGTTGATACAGTAGATCATAACAATATCCGGATAGATGATTGGTTGGCACACTTTAGGCAACTCTCTTGTGGTGTTGATACAGTAGATCATAACAATATCCGGATAGATGATTGGTTGGCACACTTTAGGCAACTCTCTTGTTGTGGTGATTGATACAGTAGATCACACTAACAATATCATAACAATATCCGGATAGATGATTGGTTGGCACACTTTAGGCAACTCTCTTGTGGTGTTGATACAGTAGATCATAACAATATCCGGATAGATGATTGGTTGGCACACTTTAGGCAACTCTCTTGTGGTGTCAATACAGTAGATCATAACAGTATCCGGATAGATGATTGGTTGGCACACTTTAGGCAACTCTTGTGGTGTTGATACAGTAGATCATAACAATGACCATCACTATCATGACAATACAGAGCAGATCAACCTGAACCGGCAAAACTCAGAACTCAGCTATACTTGATCCACCAATCACTAGAGAAGACGTTTTTGAAAGTATTGACAATCTTAAATCAAGCAAATCACCAGGATTTGATGGCATGATATCAGAATTCTTTAAACATTCGTCAGACCTTATCGCACCATACCTGGAACTACTATTTAATATTATATTGGAAAATAGTACTTTCCCCATTGGTATCATTGTTCCAATTCATGATGCAAGTAACCAAAATAACTATAGAGGAATAACATTACTTAGTATCTTTACTTACATTTTCACTTTTATAGTTAATAAGAGACTTGTAAGCTGGGGAGATACAATGGATAAGATAAATGAGTCGCAAGCTGGATTTAGACATGGATATACTACTGTTGACAACATATTTATTTTACAAAGTGTAATACAAATATATTTGAATTCAAAAGGAGGAAAGTTCTATGCGTTATTTGTAGATTTTGCGAAAGCCTTTGACTCGGTTCAACGCAACAAACTTTGGTCTGTATTTCAATGGCTTGGTCTTAGTAACAAAATGAGCGGACTTTTGTCTAATATGTGTGAGAACGTGAAGGCATGTGTTAAAAATAATCAAGAATTTTCGGAAAAGTTCGAATTACAACTTGGTGTACGGCAAGGATGTATACTTAGTCCATTCCTGTTCTCATTCTTCATCAATGGGCTTGCTGTTCAAATCGAAACTAACTGTTTAAGTGGCATACAACTTCATCCAGAAATAGTCAAATTTTTCCTTCTGTTGTTTGCAGACGACGTTGTGTTGTTGCCAAGCACCGTTAGTGGCCTCCAAAATCAAATAAATGAACTTGAACATTTCTGCGATAAATGCAAATTAAAAGTAAATAGAGAGAAAACAAAAATCGTAGTCTTTAAAAAGGGAGGTAAACTTTCTAAAAAAGAAAAGTGGTTGTTTAAGGGTATGCATCAAGACTTTGTTAGCTATCATAAATATTTGGGATTGTATTTTACCATTGGGTTGTCTTGGACCATGCATGTCAAATATGCTTTGCTCCAAGCGCAAAAAGCACTTATCGGTATTATGAAGTACACTTGGAGATATTAATTACAAAACCTTTTTTAAGATCTTTGATACAAAAATAAACCCAATTTTGGAGCAGAAATCTGGGGATTAGTAGTAGACTTTCATCAAATAGAAAGAATACACTTGCATGCATGTAAGAAATATCTTGGTGTTAAATTGAATACAGTTAACGCAGTGGTTTACGGTGAATGTGGCAGATATCCAATGCACTTGTTTACAAGCATAAAATTTGTCAAATATTGGTTAAAACTGTTAATTATGCCTCCATATCGTTTACCGAAAAAATGTTATAATATCATGCTATTGTATGATGAAAATTGACAAAGAAATTGGGCATCGCATGTTAAGAACTTCTTATTCTCTCTTGGCTTCGGGAACGTTTGGAATGCACAATATGTAGAATCTCATACGTCATTCATGCAGTCGTTAACCATAAGACTTAAAGACATATATCTTCAAACATGGTGTGAGAAAATATCTTTGTCAAGTAAATGTTTCTATTATTCATATGTAAACAAGATCCATTCAATGAAGTATAATTATCATGTGTTAATATAAAGAAATTTAGGCGTTCACTAGCAAGATTCCGATGTTCATCTCACGATTTGTTTATTGAAAGTGGCAGCTATTAAAATGTTAAACAAGAAGATAGAATATGTACACTCTGTCATTTTAATGAAATTGAAGATGAATACCACTTTCTCCTCATCTGTCCATCGTATAATTCAATACGCTGTAAAGATATTGAAAGGTATTACTATGTCCATCGAAATATAATAAAATTCTCTACTCTTATAAGCAGTAAAAATCAAAATATATTACAAAATCTTGCCATGCTCATTCACAATGCAATGTTGTATAGAACAAACGTTTTACCACTGTAATGTAAATATATTTATTTATGTAAATCCCCATCATATATGTATATGTACTATAGGCTCGTGGCCTCTTCAGTACGAAATAAATAAAGGATCGACTACTGTTCTCACATCTGGAACAATTGCAGTAAAGAACAAAGCAGCTCCCTTGAAAAATTTAACCTTGATTCTCCACGCACAATATGTGGTGCTGTCATGAGAAATTACAATTTGAAACCAATTTTTACCCTTTGGACGAAAGAAGATCTATTCAAAAACTTAAACTGATGCACAAAATTGTAAATAATGAAACTCCGACTTACTTGCAAAACTCAATCCCGTCTAAATCATAAAAGGACAACTGCATGCTAAGAAATTCGGGACAAATTCACAATATCTATTGCAGATCTACTCTCTATGCCAGAGGTAATTATATATCAGCCAATGGAACGATCTGCCACAATCAACAAGCTCTGTTAATAATCACTCTGATTTCAAACGTTTAATATCCACTCGTAAAGGCGCCTCGTTTTTCTTTGACATTAATACTGGTAATAGACAATGTCAAGTAATCCATGCGCGCCTCAGGCTCGGGTATAGCGATTTAAATTCCCATAAGTTCCATAGACACATCTCTTCAAAAGAGAAGACAATATTCATTACTTCTTCACCTGTCCGTTGTATAATGACTCACGTTTCTCAATGTACTTTTATCAAAATGGATACGACATACATTCTGTATTATATGGTAATTTTAATGTAGACTCTGAATATAACAAAAAAATGCTCGTCTCCTCTGTTCACCATTTCATCCAGTTTTCCAAAAGATTTAACATGACTTGAGAAATTATTCATGACATTAAATGCCATATTAAATATTCAACGAGCAAACGTGTGGTACCAATACATTCTATTATTTTATTGGCAATTGATTTGTTGTAACTAGCTTCCGTAAATATGTACATGTTCGTGAGAGGCGTCTATATATCAGCCCGCAGAGCTTGTTTGTCAGTCCCTTTTCTTTCTCTTAAAATAATATGTTTAAAACAAACCTAAGTTATATCCATATCTAATTTACACGGGAGGGTTTGTTTTGCCACATCTTTTTATTTAACTTCGAATGTTAGGAGGTTTTATAACTCCTATCTACTTTGAAGAATAAGACCCCGAAACATGACAATATTATTATTATTGATTTTGTATTTGTATGTAGATGGGACGAAACAAAGCATAAAATACCCGGGAGAGCGACACTAAATTTATTAATTTTAAAGACACACAATGTCATGAATAATTTATCTGTCATTTTCATTAAAACTTCAAATTGTCGTGTCTGAATCATCTGATGACACACGGTCAGTTGAGGCACAGTCAAATTTTCACCCGTATACAAGCTCTTTACATCCTCTCTTACCAGGGAAAACACCTTGAATGGGCTTGTCTGCTAAATATAGAAAATGACGTCATTTTCAGAATCATGCCTCGCAATGCGACAGCGAAAATATTTAAATACTATTATAAGAAGACTACTATCATTCAAACAGTATATATTATATATTATGCACCATTTCGTAAGTAGATTTTGACTAAAATATAACAGATATATACCATAATTATAACATAGTATTGGTAATAAAACGTTGGACAAAACGAAGGAACTAATGTAAGATTTTTGTGTGTATGCTATATGTATTTAAACAGTTGTAAGGAGAGCATTATATCCGATTGTCTACGTCATACGAGAAACAACGAGAAGATTCACGTTTCGTGATAGCGTTTACCTTATAAATACAACCACTTGTGTGAATTACTCATGCTGTGTTTTTACTAATGACTAAGATGTTCCAAAGTTAAATATTTCAAAAGTTAGAAGAGGGACATAGTTTGTAGGGAAATCTCGATGTGGATAGACCTACCTTCAGAGGGAGAAGCTCTGTGTTTTCTACCGGATTCGATCGATTGATCTACCGACGGAAACAATAATATTTATTCACAGTGTCTGCAAAGTCCACTTGTCGCCATTTTGACACTGACAGTGTGTTTTCGTGTGAGTGTTTATACTACATACTAGTAAGCTGATTGTGTAAACTAAAGGTAACTATTGGGACTGGTTCAGAGAAATGAAGATTCACGACTGTTCTGTTTTAACGGATATTCCGTTCAGTGACATATTTCGTGTGGAGACTCCTCAATACCACGTTCTGAGTGAACGCGGAAGTGGATATTTCTCTGAACGGGTCCCTGCCACTGGGTCTCCAGACGTCAACAGAAGGCGTGGCAGGTCCCGAGAGTTTGTTATTCCCATACAGATTGAGGGGAGGGACGCGCCACAAAACCAACAACCACTGATAGATCTGACGGAGGATTATAACTACATTCCTAGTCCAAACAGAAATAATAATGGAGTAAATAATCGTTCAAGGAACCGGAGAAGAGCTCAGACAAGTTCTCCAAGCCAAAGAAGCACCAGCCATGTAGGCGCCAAATCTAGTGAAGACAATTTTGCAGCAAGTTTTCCAGTTTCACAAGGAGCTCAATCATCAGCGAGAGATCGATTTTCAGATGCCATGCAAGGTTCATCCCAGCAGCCTCACCCATCAGATTCACATTTGTCAGATGAATTAATTGATTTGTGCATGTATGATGACTTAGCATGCGATTCTGCATCAGATGTGTATATCACTGAGAGCTATAATAGAACCTTCTTTGCTGAGTCGAGGCCAACTGCCTCCCACAGTGACAGAGTTCTGGCAAACCAAGTAGAAACCCCTTCAAGAGGGAAACAAGATTCAGTTAAAAGCGTAACTCCAACACCAAGCTACCCGGTGTATCGATACCTCAAATCCAAACTTGCATCAGACGGACGCCAGATTGATTACATTCGTGGGGATGGCAACTGTTTTTTCAGAGCTCTCAGTAAAGAAATTTATGATTCAGAAGAATTCCATGAAGATGTGCGTCAAGCAGTAGTAGACTTGGTGGAAAAGTTCCCTCGAGAATTCGAACAATTTCTGGATACAGGCACACAGATGCCTGATCATATCAAAGAAATGAGAAAGACATCAACTTGGGCCTCATCAGCTGAAATATATGCTGCAGCTACACTCCTTCAGCGAGATATTTACGTCTTGTCTCCAGATCATTCTGGTGATGCTTACAACTGGATGCTGTTCAAGCCCCGATTCACCTACACCAGGGACACATCCTACCATCCATGTTTCATCACCCTGTGTCACACCCACGGCAATCATTACGACAGGATCACACCTAACCATGGAAAGTGTAACTGTGATTATGAACCCCCAGCTCTGTCAGGAGTTAGTGCCTATGTGGATTTAACTGGAAAGGACTGCTAAGGTATCCAGTCACCATGCACAGTTTGTTTTGTTCATTGTGTATAACATTTTGAAAAGATTTAGTTTGTGGATTTTCTAAAACATAATATATTTCATGCTGTCAGTAATTATAATTTGTCAGATATTTCCTGCCACACTTTACCATGTTTACTTTTTGTCAAAAGTTTCCTATTTTAGTGTTAAATATGATTTCATTACAAGTGCTTTTCTTGATTTATACATCAGTTTTGTATTGTATAATGCCCGTACAATGAACTTATCATTGTATTACCAATGTTGATTACATGTCAGTTGTAAATAATCTTTAAGTATATCAGTATTACCATGTGTCTTTCACTGAATAATTGTCATGTGAGATGTTAGTATCATGACACAATTCATATGAAGAGTGCCTATTGTTGAGATTGAGAAATCCACACACATTTTATACAACCATGATGTATCCCGACACAGCCATGGATAAATGAACATATCTGGTCAACACTGGTTTTCTGCAGCCCAACATAAATAGCAGTGTTTGAATCTAACATGTAGTCTCTGAAAATATATGACTTTGATCATATGGTGGAAACAATTTTATTTCCTTTGGTAGATAAAGAACATATGAAATATTGTTTTGTTTTTAGTTAGATCATTGCACTTCTGTATAGGGTAGATGGAAGGGAAGATGATACTGATAAGGGATACAGACTAGAAACCACCCAAATGTTCTTAAGTATGAAAAGTAGGATGTTAATACCAGTAATATCAGTTAATCTTTTACCATGTTTGGATGACCCGTGAAGATCCAGGGTTAGAATTGATCTTCAGTAACCCGTGCTTGTCGTAAGAGGCGTTCGGGTGGTCAGACTGGCTGACTTGGTTGACACATGTCAATGTCGAATCTCAATTGCGTAGATTGCTGTTGATCACTGGATTGTCTGGTCTAGACTTAATGTTTTACAGACCACCGCCATATAGATGTAATATTGCTGAGTGTGGCGTAAAACTAAACTCATACCATCCCATACAAACAGAAGTCATGTGTCAGTTGGAGGTATTTACTACAAGCTTTTTAGATTTCAAGGTGACATTATTTGCTGTAATCCACCACCATGTTCAAAGCGTGAGGTAGATACAAACCTTCTACATGATGATCTGTGATACTATTCCACAGCTATGCTGATACCTGGCTTCACTTTATCAAGGTCAAATCAAAAGTGCCAAATTTCTATTGACATGTTCAAGTAAATAAATGTGTTATTGTTTATTGTTTATGTTTGTTTGTGTTTTAATGAGCATGATGAGTTACGCGGTTAAACTGGGCACAACAATTTATTGTCAAAATGCGCAGATGACTAACTACATACTTCCTGGTTTGTTTTAGAACAAAGGATAAGAAAGGAGGAAAACAGTTTGGGGGCCATCTGGGAACATCAAATTTGAAATGTAAAAATAGTGTGAGATAACCATGGAAAGCTCGTGTCAGATGGACCCAGCTGAACAATCTTAAAGATATATGGGGGTTTGAGTCCAATGTGTGCTTGCTAAGATGATTCTGCAGAATTTCTTAACCAGTTCAGAAAATGTGATTTATATACTCAAAGGCAAAAGTATTGTGATTGAGTTGATGTTAGATATGTGAATTAACAACTGGTATTTTTATGATGACACTTTTTTAATATTGCAAGAAAATCATTCCACAATAGGAATGTAAATGGCACATTTTAAACTTTTCTGGTGGACACATGCTAATGAGGGCACAGTGACAGAACGGTCAAAATGAAATTCACACAGTCAATAACATATATGTCCACTGTGATGCATGACTGACACCTGCGCCTCATAGAGCCAATCAAACGTCACAAGAAGTCTTGTGGATTGGCATTCAATATCTGTGGAGCACCTGTCAGAGTTCCTGAAGCGTGACTGGGGAATTTGGCGAACGTTTCAATCCATTTCTCAGACGTGGTCAATAGGGGACAGATCTGATTCGGCCATCAGCGCGGTGCAAGAAGAAACTGGACTCGTCAGTGAAGAGAACATGCCTCCACTCACATGCTCTCCACCACAGATGTCTGAAACACTGCAGTCATAGACATTGGTGACGTAATGTCAAAACTTGTCTGGCCGGACGTCTAGCACGTATCCTACGTGCAGCCAGACGCTGGCAATGGTCCTTGTCTCTATCCTGTTGACACCAGGAACTGATTTGGGCTGTTAGTGCGGCTGGTTGGAATCTTTGGCACAGATGGGTGGTTCAAATCCAACGATCGCGTGGTGTGGTTACAGGTGGATGGCCACGTCGGGGACAGTCTGCAACGACGACATTTTGTTGCTTACATCTCCACAAGCAGCATATGGTGTTCTTGTGCAAGGTAAACTGCTGAGCAACGTTGCGCTGGGGTGTTCTGGTTTCAAGCATTCCAATGGCTCACCTTCTTTCATTTTCAGTTAGCCATGGCTTAGAGAAATGCAAGAAGATTCTTTCAAATTTGTGTTTTTCGAACCTGTCGACGTCTTAACAATGATTTGGGTGACAATGATTCAAGATTTAGAGCCACACATTTTAAATGGCCCTTTTTGTGCCTTTTTTCCACGAACTTCTTGAAAGCACGAAAAACACATGCAAAACAAAAAATACCGACAGGGCCCTGTTTGGGTTATGGATTAAGAGTATCATAAAGAATATTAAAGTGTGTTGTACAATTGTTCTCATTTATATCAATACGTGTTGATCACAGTAACTTTTGCTTTTGAGTATACAAATGAAAATAGACACCAACTATTCCTCCAACCATACTCACTTAGAAGTCTGTGATTGTATTTGTCCTGAAGATACAGATCTGCTGGTCTGACTGATGTGCTTATTCACACTAGGCTTAGATGTGCTGATTGGGAAGATTAACTGGCATGAACTGTTGTGGAGGTGTCATCATGCAAGCTGCTCCCCTTTGCTATCAAGCATTTGTTTATTGTTTAACAACACACTTGGTAATATTGAAGCCATATTCCGTCAGTGTGAACCGGCCAATTGTGTAGATTGATGCTCAAGCTGTTGATCACTGGATTGTCTGGTCCAGACGCAATTATTTACAAAAAACGCCTTATAGCTGGAATATTGCTGAGAGCAGCATTGACCAACAAACAAAACAAAACTTGACTTGGAGTCACTCACATAAACAAGGTTACACAGAAACAGTGAATTCATAGGAAACAAGAAGACAAAGTCATCAATATCCCCTGCAACAGTGCCAAAATAAATAAATCACACACTGGTGTAACCCCCAAAAGGCACATCTATGGATCATGGTGAAAATGTGTACCAAGTTTGATGAAGCTAGCATGTATAGTTTGGGAGATCTGCTCCGGACAAGATGACATCCTCCTAGCCACAGCCTAAGTCATGTTTCCATGGAAACCGCAACAAATAAAATTCATATCTGGGTCTAACCATCAAATGGCACATCTATGGATCATGCTTGATATGTGTACCAAGTTTGATGAAGCTAGCATGTATAGTTTGGGAGATCTGCTCTGGACAAGATGACATCCTCCTAGCCACAGCCTAAGTCATGTTTCCATGGAAACCGCAACAAATAAAATTCATATCTGGCTCTACCCCAAAAAGGCACATCTAGGGATCATGGTTGATATGTGTACCAACTTTGGTTAAGCTATCAGGAATAGTTCAGGAGATATGCTTCGGACAAAGTGTGACGGATGGAAGCACGGACGCAAGGACGGAACTCCTTTCTATATCATAACAACAAATGAAACTAGGTTGTTTTTTTGACTTTATCCACTTTTACAGGTCATTCATCAATATCATTTTCATATTTAAAAATAAAATCTTAAGGTAATTTCCAGTCATAATAAATCACTCTACAAAACAAATATGGACAATGTACAATAGAAAGTATGGAAAACACACCATTTTAAGCCAGGAGTAAAGACATGTAATACAATCAATGGTTTTAAAAATAACTAAAGATATCACAAGATATAGTACATAACTCCTGTTTGGGCAGAGCAGGAACAACTATCGTCGTTCATCAATCATGTCCTTGTTTAGATTTCCCAGTTTTGTTACAGCATGATGAGAATCTACTAATGAAACACAGAAGTCTGACCTGTTCTCACTCCTATTACATACTCTCTGTTGTGTGGTACTATGGGAATTTCCCTTATAGGCTAAAAGAGGACAATGAAAATACAACCTAAACTCCACAGTGTGGAGGCTCAACAGACCCTCAAAGTCAGCTCAGCCTCTACACTGTCCTCCACTGTAGTCACATCACTAGAGTTCACTGCTTGCCTTCAACAGACCCTCAAAGTCAGCTCAGCCTTTACACTGTCCTCCACTGTGGTCGCGTCACTGGAGTTCACTGCTGGCCTTCAACAGACCCTCAAAGTCAGCTCAGCCTCCACACTGTCCTCCACTGTGGTCGCGTCACTAGAGTTCACTGCTGGCCTTCAACAGACCCTCAAAGTCAGCTCAGCCTCTACACTGTCCTCCACTGTCTGTGGTCACATCACTAGAGTTCACTGCTGGCCTTTAACAGACCCTCAAAGTCAGGAAGAAGATGAGATACTTTCTTCCTCATCTCATTTCTTCTCTTCTCTCGGTCTAGTTCCTTCCGCCTCTCCTCAGGCAGACTGTGCCATACCTTAAACATCTTCTTCTTCAGGCTCCTGTAGTGACAAGTACAATATGTAAGAGAATACGCGGACACAAGCTACAACATTCACAGTGCAGATCACCGTTACATACAACACCTATATTTGTAATAAACTTAATTTGTATGTATCTAAAGAGACTCACCATGTTTTCATTATGACACTAAAGAAATTCACCATGTTTTCATTATTGACACATTCTATGTTAGCTGAGTTATAGAGCCCTGTTCCTGGTACTGACATACATGTCTCACAGCATAAAATGTACTTGAATTCCTACAGACCAGATGTGATGTTCTTTGGCTACTCTCTCTCGGTCCCAGGTGGCAAACTTCTCCTCAGCAGCGTAGTCAGCCCAGGCGTCCATGATGGTGTGCAGCATCCTTCTCTCTCGGAACCTCCTCGCTTTCTCCATCTCTATCACCAGGTGGTGCTTGTACTGTCAGACACACGTTACATAGCCTGTACTGTCAGACACACGTTACATAGCCTGTACTGTCAGACACACGTTACATAGCTTGTACTGTCAGACACACGCTACGTTACATAGCAGACACATGTACTGTACTGTCAGACACACATCGTTACATAGCCTGTACTGTCAGACACCGCGTTACACACTACCGCGTTACGCCTGTACTGTCGGGCCACCGCGTTACACAGCCTGTACTGTCAGACACCTGCGTTACATCCAGAGCGTTACTGTACAGTCAGACATCACGTTACATAGCCTGTACTGTCAGACACATCGCGTTACCATAGCCTTGTACTGTCAGACACCGTTACATAGCTTGTACTGTCAGACACCGCGTTACATAGCCTGTACTATCGTCAGACACGCGTTACATAGCCTGTACTGTCACACTCCACGTTACATAGCCTGTACTGTCAGACACACGCGTTACATAGCTTGTACTGTCAGACACACGCGTTACATAGCCTGTACTGTGAGACACACGTTACATAGCTTGTACTGTCAGACACATGTTACACAGCCTGTACTGTGAGACACACCTGCGTTACACAGATTGTACTGTAAGACACACCACGTTACATAGCTTGACACCGCTACATAGCTTGTACTGTCAGACACACGTTACATAGCCTGTACTGTCAGACACACGTTACACAGCCTGTACTGTCAGACACACGTTACATAGCCTGTACTGTCAGACACACGTTACATAGCCTGTACTGTCAGACACACGTTACATAGCCTGTACTGTCAGACACATCGCGTTACATAGCTTGTACTGTCAGACACACGTTACATAGCTTGTACTGTCAGACACACGTTACATAGCTTGTACTGTCAGACACACGTTACATAACCTGTACTGTGAGACATACGTTACAAAGCCTGTACTGTCAGACACACGTTACATAGCCTGTACTGTCAGACACACGTTACATAGCTTGTACTGTCAGACACACGTTACATAGCCTGTACTGTGAGACACGTTACATAGCTTGTACTGTCAGACACATGTTACACAGCCTGTACTGTGAGACACACGTTACACAGATTGTACTGTGAGACACACGTTACATAGCTTGTACTGTCAGACACACGTTACATAGCCTGTACTGTCAGACACCGTTACACAGCCTGTACCTGTCAGACCTGCGTTACATAGCCTGTACTGTCAGACACACGCGTTACATAGCCTGTACTGTCAGACACACCGCGTTACATAGCCTGTACTGTCAGACACCACGTTACATAGCTTGTACTGTCAGACACACGTTACATAGCTTGTACTGTCAGACACCGCGTTACATAGCTTGTACTGTCAGACACACGCGTTACATAACCTGTACTGTGAGACATCACGTTACAAAGCCTGTACTGTCAGACACCACCGCGTTACATAGCCTGTACTGTCAGACATCACGTTACACAGCCTGTACTGTCAGACTACCGTTACATAGCCTGTACTGTCAGACACCGCGTTACATAGCCTGTACTGTCAGACATCGCGTTACACAGCGTGTACTGTCAGAACACCCGTTACATAGCCTGTACTGTCAGACACCGCGTTACATAGCCTGTACTGTCAGACACCGCGTTACATAGCCTCTACTGTCAGACACACTGTCGTTACATAGCCTGTACTGTCAGACACCGCGTTACATAGCTTGTACTGTCAGACACCGCGTTACATAGCCTGTACTGTCAGACACCGCGTTACATAGCCTGTACTGTCAGACACACGTTACATAGCCTGTACTGTCAGACACACATTACATAGCTTGTACTGTCAGACACACGTTACAGAGCCTGTACTGTCAGACACACGTAACATAGCCTGTACTGTCAGACATACGTTACACAGCCTGTAGTGTCAGACACACGTTACATAGCCTGTACTGTCAGACACCCGTTACATAGCCTGTACTGTCAGAGACACTTTACATAGCTTGTACTGTCATACTCACGTTACATAGCTTGTACTGTCAGACACACGTTACATAGCCTGTACTGTGAGACACGTTACATAGCTTGTACTGTCAGACACATGTTACACAGCCTGTACTGTGAGACACACGTTACACAGATTGTACTGTGAGACACACGTTACATAGCTTGTACTGTCAGACACACGTTACATAGCCTGTACTATAGCCAGCCTGTACTGTCAGACATCACACGTTACATACCTGTACTGTCAGACACCGCGTTACACAGCCTGTACTATCAGACACATCGTTACATAGCCTGTACTGTCAGACACACGCGTTACATAGCTTGTACTGTCAGACACTGCGTTACATAGCTTGTACTGTCAGACCCTGCCACGTTACATAGCTTGTACTGTCAGACCACATGCGTTACATAGCCTGTACTGTCAGGACATGCGTTACAAAGCCTGTACTGTCAGACACATCGCGCCTTACATAGCCTGTAGCCTGTACTGTCGGACATACGTTACATAGCCTGTACTGTCAGACACCACGTTACATAGCCTGTACTGTCAGCCTGCGTTACATAGCCTGTACTGTCAGACACCACGTTACATAGCCTGTACTGTCAGACACTGCGTTACATAGCCTGTACTGTCTGTCAGACATCGCGTTATAGCCTGTACTGTCAGACACACGTTACACAGCTTGAAATTGCTGTACACACCGCGTTACATAGCCTGTACTGTCAGACACACGTTACATAGCCTGTACTGTCAGACACCTGTCACGCCTGCGTTACATAGCGTTACATCAGCCTGTACATAGCCTGCTGTCAGACCTTACAGGAGCCTGTACTGTCAGACCTGCGTTACATAGCCTGTACTGTCGTCAGACACACATTACACAGCCTGTACTGTCAGACCACCGTTACATAGCCTGTACTGTCAGACACCCTGTACGTTACATAGCCTGTACTGTCAGACTCACGTTACATAAGTTACATAGCCACGTTCACATGTACTGTCAGACCGTTACATAGCCTGTACTACAGACACACAGCCATACGCTGTGAGCCTGTATTGTTACTGGACACGCGTTACATAACTTGTACTGTCAGACCACCACGTTACATAGCCTGTACTGTCAGACACCGCGTTACATAGCCTGTACTTGCGTCACACCGCGTTACATAATAGCCTGTACTGTCAGACACTTACGTTACATAGCCTGTACTGTCAGACACACGTTACATAGCTTGTACTGTCAGACACCACCGCGTTACATAGCTTGTACTGTCAGACACTGCGTTACATAGCTTGTACTGTCAGACACCGTTACATAGCTTACTGTCAGGACATCGCGTTACATAGCTTGTGCTATCAGACATAGCGTTACATAGCCTGTACTGTCAGACACACGCCTACATAGCATACTGTCGTACCTGTCGACACACCAGCCTGTACTATCCAGACCTGCGCCATAGCCTGTACTGTCAGACACCGCGTTACATAGCCTGTACTGTCAGACTACGTTACATAGCCTGTACTGTCAGACACCACGTTACATAGCCTGTACTGTCAGACACACGTTACATAGCCTGTACTGTCAGACACACGCGTTACATAGCGTAGCTGTCAATACGACCGTACGCGAATGTACGGACCGCATACTGCTATTAACAGCCTGTACTGTCAGACACGTTACATAGCTTGTACTGTCAGACACACGTTACATAGCCTGTACTGTCAGACACGCACGTAGCTTGTACTGTCAGACACCGCGTTACATAGCCTGTACTGTCAGACACATACGTTACACTAGCCTGTACTGTCAGACACACGTTACACAGCCTGTACTGTCAGACACACCGCGTTACATAGCCTGTACTGTCAGACATACGTTACACAGCCAGTGCTCACTGTCAGACTGTTACACACACTGTCAGACACGTTACATAGCCTATACTACAGACACGCGTTACACAGCCTGTACTGTCAGACACCGTTACATAGCTTGTACTGTCAGACACATGTTACATAGCCTGTACTGTCAGACCCACCGTTACATAGCCTGTACTGTCAGACATATCGTTACACAGCCTGTACTGTCAGACACGCTACGCGTTACATAGCCTGTACTGTCACACTCATGTTACATAGCTTGTACTGTCAGACACACTTTACATAGCTTGTACTGTCAGACACATGTTACATAGCTTGTACTGTCAGACACACGTTACACAGCTTGTACTGTGAGACACACGTTACATAGCCTGTACTGTCAGACACACGTTACACAGCCTGTACTGTCAGACACACGTTACATAGCCTGTACTGTCAGACACACGTTACATAGCTTGTACTGTCAGACACACGTTACATAGCTTGTACTGTCAGACACACGTTACATAGCTTGTACTGTCAGACACACGTTACATAGCTTGTAATGTCAGACACGTTACATAGCTTGTACTGTCAGACACACGTTACATAGCCTGTACTGTCAGACACACGTTACACAGCCTGTACTGTGAGACACACGTTACATAGCTTGTACTGTCAGACACACGTTACATAGCCTGTACTGTCAGACACACGTTACATAGCCTGTACTGTCAGACACACGTTACATAGCCTGTACTGTCAGACACACATTACATGGCCTGTACTGTCAGACACACGTTACATAGCTTGTATTGTCAGACACACGTTACACAGCTTGTACTGTCAGACACACAACTTATACAACAATGTATGTGGTGTGTGTTGTTAGACACATGATGTTTATGGCTTGTGCTGTCATAAAAATGACTTATATTACTTATAATGAAATTTTTAAAGTAAAATTGATATTTTATACTTATCCTGACTCATGATCTTTTGCTTATCTCCCTTTCCTATGCGAATGGTAGTGGAACACTTGAATCCTTTGAAGGTCCCAAAGCGGACGTAAAAGTACACTCGCCCACGAGTGACCTCCCTTTTCCCGCGTAAACAGTCATGTGACCATTCTTACTTGTCACTCTCTCCTGAT